TTATGGTTTTGTTTTGTTTATGTATTTGGGGAAAAAAGGGGGGTCCTTTTTCCCCACATTGGCCACATAAAAAAAAATGACATTTATGTACAGTACACTACGTAGACATAGTCATAGATAATTGGAAATGATTATAATAGCAATAAGTATCTCTGAAATGGAGTTCACTCTGATAATCAGAGGCGTAACCCCCTTTGAATGTGTCGGGAGCTATTTAAGTATTTTCTGACTTGGCCGTCGGGACGAGTTCAAAAGGGATTAATCAAAGGCGTAGCAGGGAAAGTATTAAATATTTGTACGGCAAAATGTCCTTTCTAGAAGGGTTTGTGCCATATCATAAGAATAGTTGGTATGGCAATGTCCAATGAGGTGTTTAAAAAATAATTGGTATGGCGAATGTGCCTGCAGTAAAAGTTGCTACGCCCCTGGCCCCCTGTAAAATAAATAGCTGTGACTCATTACGACCACTTAGTCTAGTCAAGTTTGGCTTTAGCCATACATATTATTACTTCAAAGAAACATTTAAATTTAATAGTCTGTCTTAAAAGTGTCTTTAGTCTTTAAAAAAACCTTAAAAAAATAATATAAGTTGACAATACAGAACTTCGTTAACTAATGATGCCATATTGGATAGGGGCAGATTTTCTGGAAAATGGTATGAAAATATGGGAAAACCTATGCATGTTTCCAAGTGGCTGTTCTGTATTAATGATGTTTTTTAGTATTTTTTATACCATTTTCACCTCCAGTATGAAAATCTGCCCCCTATTCAATATGGGGTCATTAACCGTGAAATCCTGTATTGCATGGAATAATATTGTAGCTGTTTTAAGTACATGTATGTACATAAATGCCAAAAATTAATTTGAATATATAATTATTTTTTTTTATATACATGTATAATATATATAATGTTTCTTTATTTATTGTAGGAATGAAGAGCAAAAGGATATAGCAGTCTTTATATAAAATAGTTCAGATCCCAAGAGATGTTCAAAATTTCTACAAAACATGTTACAGCTGACTTTAGCTACTTAATAACATTGACATTTGTGTGCTTTTATGTTTTCTTTACATAATTACTACAGTTCTATTAAAATTAATATTTTTATTCTTTGTCACAATTATTACTAAAACAAATACATCATTTTAATATGGTTTTTCATAGTCTCACTTGCATTGTACTTAAATAAGTTGTCTGTAGATGTTTACACTAGGTTTTCAGGCATTTCACTTCACTTAATTGAAACAGCATTTAAATTTTTTGTTAAATTATGGCCTGAAAAATACATTTAACATTTAAAAGGAGTTTTCACAATCAGTGAATGGCTGTTTATCACAGTAGTAAATGTACATTTCACGGTCTTTTCACAATGGGCACATAATTTATCACGACTTTTTCACGGTGTACATTTTTGTTTTTCACAGGGTTTCTACGGTCTCTTTACCCAAGTTTTCAGTTGGCACCTTTTCAAGCCTTTTCAAGGCATATACTGTACTATATCTACATTTCACAGTCTTTTCACAATGGGCACATAATGCATTATCACGACTTTTTCACGGTGTACATTTTTTTTTTCACAGGGTTTCTACGGTCTTTTCATCCAAGTTTTCAGTTGGCACCTCTTCACGGCCTTTTCACAAACTTTTCACAGCCTTTTCACGACAGTCATTCCACGGCATTGCCACGGATAAGTTTCACGGCCCACCGTAAATTAACCGTGACAAACACTGTAAAAATCACCAGCATTTTTACGGACATTTTCACGGCCAATCACGGGGCATTGTTCCAGTAGTGAAGGTTGTTTGTCTTTTCATTTGTTTCCGTTGTCTATGGTGTTGTACATCTTTCTTCTACTATCAATTTTAACTGTTCCCTTAATGTTCTTATATTAGTTTTTAACTGTATTGAAATTAAGGATGCAAATTTTACCTTGTGGGTTTAGACTGTTCGGTCTTTATTTTCCCTGTCTCATTAACGATGTGTGTATTTGGAAGTTATCTGATGCCTATTTGTTAACGAAACATTTGGCTTGAAAACAGATCTTAACTAAACGTGTATAATAACACACTCAAAGGTATTATACACCGAATATGAGTTATCACTGCATTGAACTGACCATGCTCAATATGACGGTTGTCACTAGTGTAGAAAAATCTGCTTACCCTTTTGGAGCATCTGCGATCACCCCAAATTTGTATGCTCTTTTGTTTTGTTTTGTTTTGTTATGGTTTTTTGGGGGGTAGCGGTATTATATGTATATGTAGTGATTTGTGTACTTGCGTGTGTTTTCGTCGTCGTTCGTTTTTGCCATGGCGTTGTCAGTTTCTCTTCAATTTATAACATTTGAAAGACCCTTTGATATCTTCAGCCTCTTTTTCCCTTTTATTTTTTTTTTACGAAGACATTTTGTCAAACTCGATACTTCTTACATATATATATGAAGTTGAATGCATAAGACTTTTTCATATCTGTTACTCTATTTGTGTCTAAATATAAAATGTCCTTATAGGCGACGTTCACAGATACAGCACTGCAAAGAATGCTGACGAATACGATATACCTATCCAAACCGACGATGATAATACAATAAGGTCAACGAGAAGTCTTGTAAGTCTGCTGTGACTTTATGTTGTGATTTTTTTTTTATTTTCTCTCGAAGTTTCATGTTCCAATTAAGCAAATCATGCATTATCAATTAATTACTTGAATAACAAATAGAACTCGTATGTCTGTCATAAGCATAGCATAAGTTGCGTCTGTTCCATATATAATATCCAGGCTTTATTTTGGCCATATGCAATTACTTTGTACTTACATAAAATAACAAATGCAAACGGTTTCAAAAAAAAAATCCATATCATGTTATAATATATCTTATGTATTTATATTGTCTTTAGAATGAAAGAAACGACAAACAGGAAACTCGACTTTTCATGATGCATGAATTTCTCCAATTGTTCGATGACAAAGACAAATACACGAGACATGTTCAACGTGAATTTAAGGTACGAGATTTCAGTTGTATATATTCAGTTACAATTCTGAGTAAATATTTCGCTATGAATATCAATTTTATTGTCAAATCCCCAAATAACAAGAATACTAAGTGATCTGAGCTTATCATTACTTCATATATACTAGTACACAAGTTAAATAGCAACGCCTGTATAATATATAACTACGTTATTACACTTACGTGCATGTTACTCTATACGGCTGAAACACATTAGGCGAATGTTCTACCCCTTGTTAACTTCCGTACAACAGACATAACATGTACGTATTGAATATAAGATATATGACTATCGATACACTGGTTCTTAAAAGAACACTTATGTAATGCCTATTTAACATTGATCAAATGTATGTTGTTTTTCTTTGTCATCAGATTTGCTTGTCTGTAAAAAAGTATGATTAAACAATGTTAATAACATGACTTACGTCCATGGAATTGCTATAAGAACTAAGGAAGATTTGTCTTAAATAATACGTATGTTTTCTATGGGTATTACTCAAAGCTCATTTGACTAGTTTAGGAAAAACCATTAACGCCTGCAAACATAATTAACCCCGCCACGTTCAGTAAGTGCCTGTTCCAGTTCAGAAGCCTACAGTGCATTGATTTTCATATGTTGTTCTATGTCATAGAGATGCGAAAGATATCAAAAGGGAAATTCATGATCTCTGCCATGTTTGGTTTTCGTTTATTGTTTACATATATGAGTCAGGCCGTTAGTTTTCCCCTTTGGGTTGTTTTGCATTTGCCATGTTAGGGCCTTTCATAGCTTAGTGTGCAATATATGACAAAAACAAAAAAACAACAGAAGACAAACAACAGTATTCAATATACAAAATGGAAATATAAAGGCGAACTCCACTCAATAGTCTTGGGTGATCTGAAGTGCTCCGGACTGTTGTTTGATAATTAAAATATATTCGTCATCGTCTGTGAAACAGTCAACCAAATCATGATGGTGTCCAAAACATTTTCAAAGGCATGTCTTCGCAACTTTGAACCGTGTGAGCAGTGACCCTCTATCATGACAAGAATTGCAAGCCCTGGAACATCGTATCAACTGAGAGATAAATACTCCAATATGTGCAGGCTTTGCTAGAATGTTGCTACATAAATCAAGTAACGATGACGATATTTAACCTAAATTTTGTAAGGAATCTCTCACAGTACTATAAGACATCCTGGTTTACATGTACCAGCTTTTTAACCAGTAACGGTGCTGATGTTTTAATAAACTAAACTTAAACACATATTACAGAACACATATTTTGTGTACATTAATACTTAAATATTATTCATACTTAATATATAAGTACTTATTATACTCTAATTTTTAGAATCTTTCTGAATCGGAAAATACAAACCAAAGCGGACATGAATATTTTAACGAAACAACATCGTTAGGCGAGTATAACATTATTATAGCAAATGCCTTTCAAGATAGAGTCATACACAATTTAATCTTAACCACCTTATTATTGAAAAAAGTATTGTTAAGAAATAATGGTCCACCGGATGTGTGACTACAGGTTAATGAAGAAATAGGAATGAACACAAACCTGTTTACTTAGGGAAATTAGCATTTGAGTCTTTCACCATCCCAAATGTGCATTCTTCGAATATACGTATCACGCAAAAAGGAGAAAGCTGTACGACTTTAATAAAGTATGTAGAACATTTCTGTCACCAAGTCCAATCTTTATACCGCCTATAAATAGAAAAAGAGTAAAACATAGGTTGAGAAGCACGTATTATGGAACCTTTGAAAAGCATTAATAAACATCAACTATAATATAGAATAATAAAATACAATTTCTTTGTTTTAATGTTATATTTGTTTTATTTATTTGTTTGGATTGTATAGCAATTGTATTTATCTTTTTTTATATGCTCATATCCTATTATGAAATGTATTCCTATCGAACATCTTGATAATCATGCGACATACATAGAGTATATATACATTTTAATTCCAGTGACACAAGAAAATCCAACTGATTCTAGTGTTTACTTGAACACAGCCTTAACAGTACACGAGGTCAGTACTTTTACGTATATATTTGTATTCTTTTTTATATTTTTCTTGATGAAACATGTACAATTACATACTAAGTATTAGACCCAAATTATATACAACATAAGTGACGATCGATCAAGTCGTAATGATATAATAAGATATAAATATTATAATTGATCGTGTTAATTAAAAGCTGCTATAACAATTGCCACTTCTGTTCCATTTTTACTTTTTGTGCAGGGGTTAAGAAAAGTCCAATCATTGAAATATTTTATACCCCCACATTTTGTGGGCAATATGTTCTTACATCTACATTTGTATATATAGTATTAAATAACAACAACATATTATTTACTGATTTAATGATGACAACATCCTCAGACACACCTAAAATGACTTCTTTTGCGCTGAAAGGCAATAAAATGTCATAATTTCTAATCCAGTCTGGCGATAATAAAAGGCATGAATTAAATAGCATTCCAATCTTCAATCTGCATATTTAAATCTATTTCCCATTTATTACGGGAAGATAAAGCTAACACTTTATTATCTTCCAAAAATAATTTATAGAAAGATTTACACGATTTTGGTTCCTTTTTAACTTTATCTATCAATTAATTTTCAATATCATCAAAATTAGAACTACCTTCTATCATACTTTTCAATCTATTTTGAACTGCACTATTTTATAATACCATAAAGGTCTGCAAAATTAGTATTGCTATTATACTTTTTTTTAAATTCTCAACATGAGAATAATTTATTATTATCTGACGCCAGATCAATAAAGAATAAACATTTTTCAATATATTGGAACTTCAAAACATCTTTCCACCTATTATGATGCTTGGTTAAGCCGTATGGACTGGGTCAGAATATCAGTACTGTTTTCAACTGAAAACTTATTTTGCAACTTGGAAAAATTAACCAGGATATCATGCCAAAAGGGTTTGACTTTTTTTTGCGAAAGAAAGCAATCGATCTTGACTTAAGTGTAAAATTTTGTCACTCCCAAATTTTTGTATATAACTTAACAGCAAAACTTTCCAAGGGAAGTAGTTTTGTGGATTTAATAATTTATACAGCCAAGACATTTTACACTATAGCAAATATAGTAAATATTAGGAATCTTAAGACCGCCAACTCAGTGTTCGGACATTACCACTGCTCTCTTCACTTTATCTGGTTTTCCTTTACATAAAAAATTGAAAAAATATATTTTGAGTCTATTTCAGAACCCCTTCTTGGGGGTTAGGAAGGACAGCCAGAACTTGAACCAATATTGGAAGTGCTAAAGTTTTAATAACTACAACCCTTCCAATATATGTTAGTTCTCTGTAAACCCAAGTATTGAGCAATGAGAGAGAGAGGCTCCCCTTAACAAACCCCTTTTTTTCAATGAAAACAACTCTGAAATATATCCGTTATTTAACACTGCACTAGAGGCATCACAGTAGCATGTTCTTATCAACTTATACGTATGGTCAACCACAAAACTGCAGAGCCTCTAATATAAAAGACCATTCGACAGTGAAAGCTTTCTGAATATCGATTAAAAGTGAAGGACTTTCGTCTTCCTCCATCTTTTCGATCAGATCATAAATAAATCTAGTCCATTCGCATGTATGCCTACTTTTAGGAACACATTTTTGTGTTTGGCTTGTTATAATTACCAGCACCGTTTTGAGTCTATTTACTAGACTTGCTGTAGCTATCTTATAGTGTACACACAACAGTGTGATAGGTCGCCAGTTCTTGAGATAAAACTTTGACTTACCCTCCTTTGGTATACAAATAATGAATCGCTGTCTTTTAGTGATAGAGAACTTTCCAAGTTCTAAAGCCTCATTTAAACATCTTACCAGTGGTATTTTAATATCATCACTCCAAACAATTTTATAAAACTCAATGGTGAATCCATCCATACCAGGTGATTTGGAATTCTTCATATGCTTAAGAGAAGACAGTCATTCCTGGATTGTTAAAAGTCCCTCACAGTAACCCACTTCTTCCTCATTATGTCTTGTAATAAAAGGATTGCCATGCTGCAGAAATGAGTCCCTGTGAGTTTCAAGTAACGAGGTTTAAAAACTTGTATATATTTTTTTATAAAATTGGTTTGTTCATTTCTAATAATAAAAATACTTGAATCTGTTATCTCAGACTCGTCCTCCAGAATAAGTTTGGGAATATTTGTTCTGTGTAATGTTTTCTTTTTCCAAATTACAAAAATAGTTACTTCCCTTTTCTCCTCTACTTACCATCTTGCTTTAGCTCTTGTAATTATTCCTTTGACCTTTTTTTCCCTGAATATTTTAAGTTCTAGTTCCACCCTTCCTTTTTTTAGTGTTCTGATGGCAAGTTATTCTACAAGAGTTTTTTTTTTTTTTTATTTATCTAATAATGATATTGTATATAGTAATTATTTTTCTTTTTTCTTTCCTTCCTTCTTCTGAAATGACGAAAATGAGATTGCAGATCCGCGGACTTTCATCGTGATCATATCCCTTAAAAATTGATAGCTTATATTAAACTGTTTGTCCTTTATCTCAATATTCATACATGGATCAGACTCATATTCTTCAACGACAGTTTTGATGTCCCCTTTTACTTTTTCAACAAATTAAACTTCCCTCAAAAGACTGTTATTAAAATTTCCTTCACTCTTATCTGGCTCGAAAATTTTAAATTAATAGGTACCGGAGAATGGTTCGATCTATAACTGATCCCTTTATCTGATGAAATTAGGAAATCTTCTATATCAGAGGTAATCATGTAGCAGTCAAACGACTTTGTTTGTGATATGGACCCCGCCATGAGTACCTCTTATTAAATGGATGCTGCAGGCGTCATATATCTAAACAAAATCAAGGTCATGCATTACCATATTTATCTTGGCTTTTAACTGGGGAGTATTTTCACTTCTATAATGTAATGTGTTAATGTCATAATCTTGAACAATATACCAATATCCCACCACTACAATTGACGAATTGCCATAGTGGGATATTTTATTTTTTATGTTCTCAAAAAAGACTGGTTCATCAGTATTCGGTACATATATATTGTTGCCAAAGTTATAAGGTAGTCCTGAATGGTGATATCTAATATAATAAAATTACCAGAGAAGTCTTTAGTTTCCTCACGGATCTTGAATTCAAAAGTATTTTTGAAGAGAATAGCTACCCCTCTTTATTTACTAGAATAAGAACTGAATTTCCCCAAATATCCCCATTTATGAAGCCATTGATTTTCTTTTCCAGATGTGCTATGGGTGTCTATAATATAGTTTTATCATATACTTATAGAAAATAATGGTATAATTGTACCCCATGATAAAACTAATTTGTACATATATTTATTCATTAAATTTGAAGAATTGTCTTAGCCGTGTGATATGACTTTTGTTATCAACTGCTTCCGGTTATTATACGCTATCTATTCTTGCACTTAGCCTAGATAACTCTGATTTAAAGTGTTGTTCTACTTTCGCTTGATTAGTTTGAATTTCGACCATCATTTCATTTCTAAGTTCTTTTTTCGTCTCATTTTTTTTTTTTTTTTTTATTTAATTTGGGCAAATTAGCTTTAACTGTTTCAATGATGATCATTTTAACATCTTCTTTTTTCAAAATATTTTTTATGGATTTTCTTATCTCATTTAATTTGGTTTTAATGCATAGACTTTGATCGCCATCGTTAGATAGATATATGCGGGCGTTTTGCAAATTTTAGTTTTGTTAGTGTTTCCCTCAGTTTTAGTCTGTAACCCGGATTTGCTTTTATCTCTATCGATTTATGAGATCATAGGAACAACGGTATACTACTGTTGCCTTTATTTAGTCACTAAATCAGAGTCATCATTTTCCTTTGTAGCAGAGAGTTTGCCAGCATTAGCTGTCGATACAAAGCTTGTAATTTGCTGCTGTTGCGCCATTCTCGGATTACGGGGAACGTTTATGTATAAATGATAAATATATAGAATTCTCGATCTGTTTTTACAATTTATTTTTCGAACTATTCTACAGTGAGTTTTTTTTTACTCAATTAAGGCACTATCAATGTCTATATTTAGAATGTTTTTTAAAATTCTTCCAACTTCGAAAGGCTTTTAAAGTATCTTTGTTTTATAAATTATAAAAAAAAATTCAGAAAGACACATTATTGCTCGAGGTTCCAAAATCCAAGAACAATCATATACAGGACTGCAAAACTTCAAACTAGCACAAACACATAGGATTGTCACTACCCTCGACTAACCACGTGCACAGACGCCATATTTTCTTTCTTTACGTATATATTAAGTTACATGGAAGACAAACGATTGAGAAGATACCAAGTAGGTCATTCAAAAATCATAAGTCCAATAGAAAAGGACAATTCAAAAACAAAAATTACAACGACGAAAGGACAAACAACAATGACAAAACATACCATATACAAGTAAACGTACTGTCCGTGTTTTTGTTTGATGTTTTTCTTTGTATTGATTTGATGAGTTCAGTCTTTTTTTAACAAATTTTTATAGTGTGTTCTTATTTTGTTTTGCTGTTTCACCACTGTCCCAAGTTCGAGAGAGGGTTGAACACTCACATACATGTTTAACCCCGCAACATTCTTTATGTGCATGTCCCAAGTCAGAAGCCTGTAGTTCAGTGGTTGTCGTTGGTTCATGCCTGTCATATTTGTTTTTTGTAAATTGTTTTGTTGTCAATTAGGCTGTTTGTTTTCTCAGTTGAGTTGTTTCATATTTTTCATGTCGGGGCCTTTAAATCCGAATTTACGGTATGGGGTTTTCTCTTTGATGTAGGCCGTAAGGTTACCTATTATTGCTTTCATCCACTTCATTTGAAGTTTGGAGATAGTTGTCTAATTTTCAATCATACCACAACTCCTTATTGTTATATATTAGCACCACGGATCCCAAGAAGAACTTTATATTTTTAAACTTGACTCTAAAACAATCTAGTTACAAAACTGTTCGATGAGTATCGTATGTGTAGCAAATACAATACACAAGAATATATATTGACACCCAGTTTAATTAGATGTCATATAAATTAGCATTTGACAAAATGCAACAGGGAAAATGGTATTATAATGTAGCCGTATAAATTGTCTGTTTGAAGATTTGACCATCAATATATGTATCTATATCTAAAAGAAACAACTTTTAGCACATTATAGTTTGGTGCCTATGTGTGTAAGCCGATTATCAATAAAATAATTTTAATTATTTGTAGAGCTGCACGCTATTCATGTCATCAGTTCCACAGTCAAATTCGATTGAACAGTTTTGGGAGTTTGTAAACAAGAACGGAGTAGAACATATTATCCTCCTTCTAAAAGAAAACCAACAGGTTTGATTTCATAGCATTTGAAATTGGCAGTTTAGATTTATTATAAAATTCTATTATTTTTGTGTTATGCCTTATGTACAAGTGCATTATACTTACTTAAGAAACTACTACCTAGAATGTCAGAAATATGGATCGAAAGTCTATGGATAAAATCATTTGCATTCGTGAAATATTTTTTTAGTGACCTGTACGTATTATTGTATAAGCACTTTTAAACAAGAGACAAGCAACAGTTACACCAGTAAACCAATTTTGAAATGCAACTGTTCAGACATTTCGCTTGCTGTCAATTAAGATCTATTCAGTTTATGTTTAGGCTGTTCAGTATTTGATATTTACCTGTAAAAATTAACATCACACTGAATCGTCAGAAATGTTACTGAACAGTACTGAATAGATTGCAAGCCAACCATCTTATCGTAACTGAACATTCAAAATCAGAAGTCGAAAACAAACTGACAACGCCATGGCTAAAAAAGAAAAAGACCTACAGACAAACAATAGTGCACAAACAACAACAGAGAAAACTAAAGTCTGAGCAGCGCGAACCTCACCAAAAATTGGGGGTGATCTCAGGTGATCCGGAAGGGTAAAAAGATCCTGGTCCATATGTGGCACCCGTCAAATTGTTCATGTTAGTAAAAACTCGGTAATAAGTCTTATTCGATAGGGTGCATTCAGGAATAGGGAACGGGATTGTAGTTACGACATTATGAACATATTCGCTATCATCTGTGAAACGGATATTATATAACGGTCAACCAACTCGTGATGGCGTCCGTAAAACTTACAAAGGAATGATTTCAACTTCACTACTTGGAACTCTTGGTTTAATTGACAAATGATGGAATAAACTTATTACTTGTACATCTATTCGTGATGTTTAAGTGATGAGGCGAGAAATTACTAGTATACTCTTTTATTCAATTAATCATTTTAGGTTGCAGAATTTTACCCAGGTAGTCACAAACCAATACAAATGAACCATTTTAGACTTGAACTCGATTTATCGGAAAAGAAAAATCAGAATCTTTTTGTGTTTAATGTGCAGTTGACAAATAAGGTATACATATTATAATTAGCTTTTGCAACTCTTAAATCAAAAAATGCTTAAATATTGTAAGCAATACACAATGCTAAAGCAAGATGTTGTTCAGATGATGAAATTGAGTAGGTTGTTCCAGAATACATAATGTGAATCATGCATGTCCATATCAACATTTGTTATTTGATGCCGGATATTTTAGCAAAGATCACGGAAATCTAGAAACAAAAGCTCGCAGCTATTCCATAACACTATAAAGAACTATTCCAAAACTATCTAAAAGTTTGACATATATTGATATCAAAGTTTTGGCATTTATAAAAATGCATGCATGTTCGGACGACCTTCCGGTTTAACTTACTTGATGTGCTTTTTGGAAACGTTTAGTTCCTAGTGTCTATCGAACATGATGAAAACTGACATAAGACTTGTTTTTTTTTTTTTTTACTTTTTACCTGATATTCAGAATCCTCTGGTTTAATTAACATGTGGTTTCATCAAATTTTTTGTCTGCTTACCCCTGCTTTTCTTTCCAAATTTTCTTTCATATTGTTTTGATACCCATGTGTGAAATTCTATTAGCACCCTTGGTATATTTTCATAGTTTTCGAAAGAAAAAGGCGCCAATGTTAAATATATGGAACATTTAGAGATAACAGTTATCTGGCATTCTGCAATGACTTATATCTTAAAACCAAAGACACGAACCTTTCTTTTTTTTCTGCATATGACCGTTATTTATATTCTATCAATTAATAACAGTCTATAAAAATCTTGTAATTTTGAAACAAAGCAGTGAACATCCGCGACACCTTATGTTGTATCTGCAGTTAGAAAGTGAACGTTTACGTTTTTTTAGCTAGAATTGTTGCATCGTTTGCCAACCTTTATAATAGACGGCCTCTTCCTTTTATTTAAAAAAATAGATGTTAAACATGCTTTTTATCTTAGAAAATTGATCAACGGACTTTAAGCTAGCTAAATCCATCCTAAACATTAAAGGATAAATTGTGGTTACCTAAACAACAGAAAATATTGTAAAGATAGTTTTGTTGTTTGTCTGTATCACATGAATAAAGTACGTTTTCTGGTTAATTTGTTAACATGTATTTTTACACATGTCAACATAACAGGTAGTAGGTTGAATTCTAGTAAAGGTTTTTTATTCAGTCAGATCATAATATGCCTTGCAAGCACAGGCGTATAGCAAGTTGCCGGTATCTGAGATTGGGTCATGTCATCTGTGAAAAGTTGCTTGCTCATATACCTCCACATGTGCTCACGTATTGGTACGTCCTTGGCTTTCAACGTAGTGGGTCTGAGCGTTCGTGATGTTGTCACTTTTAGAAAAATCATTCAGACGCACCAAATTGACAAATTCCTAATTTCATTGTACATTTGATTTGAATAAGAAAGGCTTCATTTAAAATATTCTCAAATTAAAATATCACAAATCGAATTTACCTGAAACAACACATACAAACGTTGATCATAAGGAAGTATTTTGAAGGGACAGTTTATCTCTGCTTTTTGTTTTATTGTTTTCTTTTGTTTTATTTGCAGATGCAAAGTAGTAACTCATCGAATTAATTAGATCTTGGTTCACATTCTTTATTAGTCAAAACAGATTTATCATTCCTACTTATTACTATACATTATTATTTATAATGTAATATATAAGTCTGTAAATTAACATTTATCCTTGATTATTTTTATGTTATTCTTTTGGTAGGAAACAAAATCCAGTACTCCTGTCAAGATTTATGAGACAACAAATTGGAAAGAAGAAGATAGGCATTTACCATTAGAAGTCTTATCACAGCTTCTTGATGTGACCAGATTGTCGAAGTCTAAATCAGCACTTTTAATGACCAGGTAATTGTGTTTATCTGTACAGACTACAATTTGATATGACAAGAACGAAAGGGCACTGTAGAAAAAAATATATATTTATATGATACGTGAATCTGGAAAGTTTATCAAAATTATTGAAATATAGGACAAATGTAAAATGCGTCATTAGTTTCTACAAATATAGACAAAAAGTAATACGAGGTATTCATTTATCCCACAATTTCTTTAATGAAATAGACAGAAAATAAATGAGCGTTACATTTTCTTTTCCGTCATCTCAACTCACCGACCATTAACACGAGGTAAAACCACGAACTTTACTGCCAGTTTACAATGTCGTCTATTACCGGTTTGAACTGCATTCTTTGAGATAGATGCCAATTTTCTTTGACGGACACTGCTGACTAGCATATCTAAAAATCACTGTTTATAGAGTACACTATGTATGTGCTATTTTCTTAAATAGAACCACTAGCTATGGATAAAAATGTATCTATCAGATTAAAACCAAACTAGTATTGAAACAGGAAAGATTTCTATTGACAGATGTGAAAATGTACCTACTAACACCGTATTTCGGTTTTGTCGGGATATGTGATAAAGTTTTACAATAGACTTCTGTTACTAAAAATGAAACAAGGACGTAGATTTTGTGATAAAATACGGACATACATGTTTAGAAATAGATAATTACTATAATCAATAGATCAACAACTAATTGACCTAAAATTGGACACAATTACTAAAAGGTCAAAAACAGGAACGGAGACGTATATAAGATTCTTGAATTGTATTTAAACAAACACGATATAACTTCTTTTCGTATTGAATGAAGTGTTATCAACATACGTTAAGAATATTTATGATTTAAATAATTGATACTGAAAACCATAAATAAGAAAAACATTTGTTAGTGCACAATGTTAACATGAATTGTCTCAATCGTGGTTTTACGGATAATGTGTTATTGATATTTTTTGTTACAATATTTTTTAAACTATTTTAAATCTAGGAATATATCTCCCTAATGCAAAGTTCTGATTCCGTTAATAGCTTTGGTTATACTGAATGTCCTTTTTAGTTTTATTAACTCATCAATGTTTCAAGAAAGTTTTGGATTTTTAAATGTTTTGGCTCCGACCATCACTGAAATTACGTTAATTGTCGAAATGTGCATCTGGTAAAGTAAAATGGAATATGTTATGTAACTATAACAGAACTTATCATTACTTTTTTGCAAAAGCATATTGAAACAAAAGAATGAATTATTTTTTGAGTGTAGAAAACTCTTACACTGCTAAACAAAGTTCGATCTGAAACGGACATTTTGATCTGAACAACTCTTATCAATGAAGTATTAAGTCTTGCAGTTAATATTTTAACAGCCGCGGTAAATTCAGTACTTTCCAGACAATTCGCTTACAGTCAAAAACATTTTTGACTTCATTTTAGATAGTTCAGGTTCACACAAGAAACTCTATACTACACTTTTGGACTAGAGTGATAATATTTTGTTCTGTTTTGAAATTTCCTTTTGGGTTGGAAGGTGACTTTTATTTTGGTCCCGTTTTGCCGTTTGTATATTTCTGAATCCGCTCTTTATACCAGTGTCTGCAGTGACATTTAAGATTTCAGTGAACGCAACCTTCGTATAACAAATAAATTATTGAGTCAGAAATTTCGTGACTACGATTACTAAGAATTCCTTTACCTAATAAGTATTTCTCTCGTTAATATAGTTGTTCGAAATTTTAGTTCAACGTGTTATCATATTGACTGTTTTGACGGGGATGTTGTTTATAGATCTCGGAGATAAAAAAAAATGAATGTATATATATATATATATGTATAAACTGTTTCATCCTTTCAATAAGCTAATGTTCATGATACCTCTTCTGCTGGACTGTTAGTCCTCGAGAGTATCACCAACAGAATGGGCAAGATTTCTGATTGGCATTTTAGTTTGAAAGAACATGGATTAATCAGAAGTTAATTTTGACATCTTGTATAACAATTTTCAGTAACTGCAAGGACTCAGAAATTTAATTTGTGTCTTTTGTTTTTCTATTGTTTGTTTTTTCGTTCTTAGTAACGATCTGACTATGTAGATTTGTTCTTATGTTACACCACTGTGCCGGTAGTGAGAAATGTTAAGCGATCACACATACATTTATCGTCGCCTTATTCTTCTATTTTGTGTCAGAAGGCTATAATCCGGTGGTCTTCTTTGCTTTATCGGTCAAAAATGCCGTTGGTGTCTTTTTAGTGATTCATATTTTATCACCCAGGGGTCTTATATGCGGTATGGTTTTTGCTAATCGTTGAAGGTAGTATGATAACTAATAATATCAACATGCATTAACTTGTGAGGTTATATAACAAAAAACGAGGTACCTAATTCGAGACTATAGCTTATATATGTAGCTGAGTGAAACTATCTCAACCCTACCCTTTTCATTATATCAATGCACTCACAAAATGCACATAATAGAGCATTACATTAGTTGGAAAGCATTGATCCCACTTATGAATCAACAGCCATTGCGTCATAAGTCCATACAAATGTATCAAACACCGACCAAAGTATACATCATGATAAAATCAGTAATTCCATGGCATGACAAAAATGTTAAAAGTCGGAACTATTCATAAGTAACAACGCTGGACCTATACAGTAACTCGGTGACAAAGGCAGTATTAAAATCAACGTTCAATGCCACTACAGACTTTTTTTGTACGTTAAATCTAACGTAGAAGGGACGAAAACTGAACGAAAATCTTATTCCTGTCTGACAGTTTTTCGACTTAACATTAAATATGTAATTGTTACATCAATGACATAGCAATTATTATTCCGAAAAAATATCTGTTCGATAAAACCAGGAAAAAACAAACCACTATTCCGAATGTGATGCACTCACTTTTATCACACTACGTTAACGCTGAGAAATTGTTTTCACAAATAATCACACATTAATAGTATATAAGATAAAAAAAAATATAAAGATATTGTTAGCATGATTGACCATGTCGTTAAATTTAAAACAGTTTGTAAGTACAGTTATGATATTTTTACTGTATTAATTTGTGTTTCAGTGATGAGTTAGGTATATGTATGGCTGGGATATTAAAAGTTTGTGCAGATGTGTTACGAGCTATTGATGAGAGCTCAAGCTTTAGTATTTTCCAGCTGGCAAAAGAAGCCAGAAACCAACATCCAAAGATTTTTCAGGAAATGGTGAGTTTTTATCGCGTAATATATGTTATTGTTTATGAAAAATAGTGTACTTTGCTGCTCAATTTTCCGGTTCTCTACTTTGGCAATAGTGTCTTTCTTGACGTATAATTTTGTTTAAACGTACCACCAGCTCAATGTCAATACTGTAGAATACATATGTTTCCGAGAACAAAATAAACATAACGTGCATAAACTTACAAAGAAAAGCATTGATATTGGTTTTAGCAAAGCCCGGTTTAAAAATGCCCGATCAAAATCTCACCCTTTATACTTTTGTAATCGGATGTGTTTTTTTTATTAAAGCTGGTATTTTCAAGAAAAGTCTAACAAAAACTTATGTCTGATCTTACTTTACTAGCTGTAACGATGATCTGAATTTGAAATGGGCATATATTGGTTACGAATAAGAATTCCTCTTGGCTAATTGGTTTATGTAGGATTAATGAAATTTATTCACAAAAAGCATGTAGGCTACTACATTATGTGATCTTTACTGCATATAGTAGGATGCATTTGATATTTCCAACTCTGAGCAATTGTATGGTGTTTCAATAAATATCCTATTACAATTTATAAAACTACATTTATCTACAACAACCTTTCTAAACAAACCCATGCCAACAAACTATATTTGAACCCCAACTTCTTTTTTATTGGCGATAATAAAGATCACTTGACAAACAATCTCCTTTCTTTAATTAAAATCGCAGGTATTTTGGAGATGTCATTTAGCATTTCAAATCGTCAGACCATCGAAGAGAATTTTTTTTCTGAACACATACCATGCAGTTGAAAGATTTCAGAAATTTCCTTAGTTCAAATATATCATGTTTAGTAATCTTAGTTGTATAAATGACATAGCAATAACATGATGAGATATATGGTCTTATATTAACGATGGTTAGACAAGCATTATATTTACAGATAAAATACTGATACACGCTGTTAATTTCTTGGAAGAGTTCAAAGATCTGTGGTATCAATTTCCCTTTAAAAGGAGTTTTTAGGTTGATACAGTTACTCAAAGTTATCTTCATAAGAACAAACTCATAATGCCATGGCAAAAAACGAAAAACGACGAAAAGACAAACATCATTCTACAAAACATAAAATAAGGAAAAGGGAAACTAAAGACTAAGCGACACAAACCCAACCAAACACGTTGATATGTTATATCAGGTAATTTGACAACACTCAATACTGGAATGGTAATTGACTCAGTTGGCTATTTATGGGCTCTGCTCATTATTGAAGGCCGTACGGTGACCTATAGTTGTTAATTTCTGTGTCATTTTGGTCTCTTGTGGAGAGTTGTTTCATTGGCAATCATACTATATCTTCTTTTTTTTTTTATTCTTATCTTTACTTACTCTAGTTCGCAAATCGTCAAACAAGATTTAGATTTTTTCAAATGTTTATTCAATATTTATTTACAAGGTCCTCCCACAACGTTTATGTCGTCGATGAACGCTGGGCTATGTTGTCTGTTGTTATTAGTACTTTTTCTAATCCGAAAGCTTTGACAATATCTATTCATGCCCTAAAGAGCAAGTAATTTGTCAAGCAATACATTTATAATACAGAAGTAAATGCCTGTACCAAGTCAGGAATGTGACATTTTTTCCTTTCGTTTTTTAAATGTGTTTGAGTTTTGATTTTGCCATTTAATCAGAGACTTTCCGTTTTAAATTTTCCTTGGAGTTAGGTATATTTGTTATTTTACTTTTTAATGCATGTCAAGGAAAAAGAAAGACAAAGGATACCAAAGGGACATTCAAACTCATAGTTCGAAAATAAACGGACAACGCCATGGATAAAAAAGAAAAAGACAAACAGACTAACAACAGTACACAAACTCAACATATAAAACTAAAGACTGAGCAACACGAACCCCACGAAACACTTGGGGTGATCTCAGAAGCTGCGGAAGGGTAAACTGACCCTGCTCCACATGTGGCACCCGTCGTTTTGCTCATATAGACAAAGCCCGGGATACGTCTAATTCGGTAGGTCACATTCGGGGAAAAGGGGGCCGGATTGTAGTGACGACAATTGGAACATATTTGTTGTCATCCGTGAAACAGGTATTCCTTAACGGTCAACCAATTCTTGATGGCGTCCGTAAAAAATACGAAGGGACGATTTCAAATTCACCACTGAGAACTTGTGGTTTAATAGCTTCCTTGTGAACATCAACCTTCTATCAAGGAAATGATTATAGGAAATACAATCCCTGGGATATCGTATCAACTGGGAGATATACACTCCGTATACAGGCGCTGCTGGAATGTTGCAAAATAGAAATGGAATTGGGAAGCTGAAATCTTCTCTGTTGTAAAGTTTTGTTTTCAACCGACAATCATTGTCAATTTTTAGATGTTAGTCAAGATATGAGATAGACTTTACTGTATCCTTTATCTCAAGTTCGAATGGATAGATGCGATCAACATAATGACCAAATTTTGAATTAATTAGTGAGCGATCATCATATATATAGCGGAAAGTGAAGTTAAAGGATACTGCTTACTTCTTTTCTTTCTTCCTAAGAAGTTTCTGTATGAAAACAGCCTCATATGAATAAAGGAAAAAATGCATGAGAAACAATTATGAATTTAAACATTTACAAAATTCATAGGCAATACAATATGGAAATGGCACTGCTTAACTTTCATATAAACTATCAACTGATGTTCATAATTAGCTTTAAAACAAGTACACGGGCATTCTTTTTTTAATAGCATTTGGCTTTATCATGTATGAGACATATTTGTGCCATTTTCTATTGACAAATAACAGTTGAATTTTGTTTTAATTAGATATATTTACAGCATATTGACCTTATATTCTATATTGATGTCTTTATCGTCGAACCATTCATTGAAAGTCGAGACATTACCAATGTTTTGCCTTTCGGGCGTTTCTCTTAATGTAAACAGCTGGTAACCAATGCGTTATTTTATAACCATTTACATGATAATGTTCAAAACAACATATCATTTAGATAGTTTCATATGGCTATCTCCTTGTTGTTTTTTTTTATTGAACTATGTTCTATGAATAGCCTGCCTTTAAAAATAAGAAGCTGATATTTAATCAATACCTTTTTTGAAAAGATGTTTGATATGAGTTATATAGGATGTATATTTCTTGTGATAAGTATGCAATTGTCGAATAACAGGCCGATCTGTAGGGCGCAGTTTATTCAATATCAACTTTAAACACACCACCTATCAACTTATGAATCAATTATTTTTACGATATTGTTATGAATATTCGACGTTTAACGAGATTGAAACTGAATATCATACAATTAATATGATTGTTGATCGACTAAATCACACCAATGAATACGAGACATATTTTTTTCATTTTTTTCATTTCAGATTGATTATGATCATTGTTACCTGTTGACACAACATCATTTGGAAAGTAATCATTTGTATGATGCAATTGATTGAGAAGTGGACAGTAGATGTTTTAATGCCTATAGTCAAGTATTGTCAATTTTGAAATTAATTTAAAATATATAAACTTTCCAGCCTACCTTTCGTTAGGTTGCTGTCTTATGGGTGAATATCCTTCCAATTCCATTCATTGATACAAAAGTTTCTTATTTATTTACTCTTTATTATTGTACTGCAACAATTCTACTATGAAATACAAATGCTATAGTGTTAAATTAGTTCAATGCAAAAGTAAATACTGACTTTGTAAAAAAAATAAAACGACGTATAGTTACCACAAAAGTTGCATGAACAAGCTTAGATAGGTTTCTTACAAAATAAGTAAGAAAGACTTTAGTTCACATCGTATACATGTAGTACAAGTGTGAATAAAATACCTTGATGATTAATTTTTAAGTATAATTACACCTTATATAAGAATGTCGGATTTTGATTGGTTGATGGCCAGTGTATTTTTCGCATATGCTAACCTTTTTTCCTCAGTTCAAACGAATTTGCCTGTTTTTTTTTCAACACTGCCGGTGAAAATGCCTCAAATTCCCCTCTATGCCGTGGTATTTGCAATTTTGGATATTGATTTTATACCCTCGCGACCTCTTCCCGCCAAAGTTATTCGGAACCTTTCTCACCTTATACCGATTTTTAAGGCAACATAATTAAGCAATATAGATTGGTAGAGGTTATCCGAAAACTGTAAACAAAACAACACGACTACACGTCACCAATCTCGTGATCGTATATTGAAGAATGCGTTGTGTATATAAAGTGGAAAAAGACGTCTATACAAATGAACGATTTAATGATGGAATGACAATGACGTTTACACATAGATACCATGACGTTACATAAAGACAGCGCTAACGCGTATAAGTAGGCCTACATGTATAAATCTAGCGGTACTATGATAATCTCTACTTATCATCAAAATTATGCATAAACACGTTTATGGATTACAAAAAATGTACAACTTTCTAGTAAAAAAAAACAACATTTCCCTTCACCTGTACAGATAGTTTCAATCACAATCTATTCGGTGTAATTAAACAGATATATCATTTTATGGAGGGGTATTGCCGAAAAATACCAATCTTGGGACCAAATTTCACAGTCACTTGCCTGGAAATTGAAAACAAAAATTGTCGATTGAAAACAATTACAAAGTTTTTATACTTATTGTTATGACTTCGACACATTTAGCCGAAAGTTTCGGCCTAGGAAAATTGCTCTCGCGGGTAGCCAGTTACTTAAAAGGATATATCTCGTGGCCTCATTATCCTTTCCAAACGAGAGATTTGTAAACATTGTAAACGAAAATGTTGAATAAAGTCAAGAAACGTATATAAACTATGACAAATGTGTGATTTTAATTCAATTGTACGATTGCCGTTTACAAGAAAATTAATCATTTGAAAATGGGAATATGTCCTATCAGGAAACCAAATTGTGGCGTATTATTTTGATATTCGATATTCAGTATAACCGGGCGATACTCGGATATTCGGGTACTCGTTGACATCCCTAGTAAATGAGGATCAAATAAGTGAATAAAATCAGAAATAGCCATTCAGAAGGACATGATTTGTATAAAGCTAGATAATATTGTTAAAAATGTTATATTATGTTTTTTATTATTTGTTTTATTTATCATGCCTGTAGTTGAGAGTTTTTTTTTTATTAATAATGATGATTTTTATTGTACATTCTTGAATGTGTTTTGTGGGATGGTTGACATTAGTTTAAATATTAGTTTGATAAAACTACACAATACATTCACGTGCTTATTCCGTTACAAAACCCTCGTCAGAGGTTATGTGTTGTTGTATATATTTAAATTGATGACATTTGATTTTCATTGATATGCTGTTTTAATGACCCTATCTGTCTTTTTTAAGATGGTATTCGTAACATATATTTCTGTTGGATATTATTCTATCCCAAACTTCTATCAATAACATTATTCACAGTGTGTTCCAACTAATGAATAATCAATCAAAAGGTAAACCTTCAACACAAACATTCATTAAATTACAGTGTTCGAGTTAAGCCTGAAGATAATTTAAATGTGATACAATTTGATAATCATTTTGACAGTAAGTGAATTTTGTACAATACTTAAGGTTCGTTTCTTTAATTTTTTTTAAATGTTTTATATTTTCTCTTATTGCAGTTACCATGATTACGGACAATAACTATCTTATAATCCATGGTCTGATTTTCAAGTGTAGGTTCAATAATTCAGATGTATAACTACATGTAGTTATCAATAGTCTCAAAAACGTTTTAATGTCTGTGCAATTATTTGCCGAGAGTGTGTCTGAATATCATATGCATATGTATTATTGACGTGCGACATTCATATGTTAAGTAATAACGATTCGCTTCATTGAAATTTTGAAAATGTATTAAAATCAAGTTACGAGAAAAATGACAGGGACTTTTATTGTTTAGTGTACTGATGTTTTAGAGATACGACGTGATAATTGCTAGCACTACTACATCTCTGTTCTACGTCGAAAGATCTGATATTTTCCTGCAAAATTTGGATGAGACTAAAATAACTTCAATCTGATATTTAAATGCGGATCAAATGAAGAGGGTGTACTCAGATGGATAAGATTTGTATAAAACTAAATGATATTGTTATATTATGTATTGTTGTGTTGTTTTTTGTTTTGCAATTCTATTATACCTGTGTTTTAGAGCTATACATGTTTATTAATTATGATTTCTATTGTACATGCTTGATTTTGCTGTTTATTTTTTAAGTGATCGAGTACACAAGTATAGGGTCGAAAAACTTGGAATCAAGAAATAGAAGTGAAATGTAAATAGCCTTTTTGGTTTTTGTCTTTTTTAAATATTAACATATTTCTGATGTGTATTAAAATACTATGTTTTGTCTCCCCTTTGGTTTTATTGTTATAGTCTTTCCTGATCTTTAAAATTGGCCTACAAAATAGTGGCGCCATCAGCTTATGTTAGTAATGATGTTGTCATCTGGTTTTTTTTCGTGTCATTCTTTGAAAATATCTAGTATGAAAAAAAGGTTTGAATTTGTCCAGGGTTTTTACAGCATAACACATGCACAGACAATCCTTTATTTATATATGTATCTACTGTGGATTCATTAATATTTGTTGAATACCAACTTTCATGGATTTCGTTGGTACAGGGGAACCACGAATTTAGAAATTCAAGGAAATACAAATTTTCTGAAGGAATTTATGCAGACTTTGCCAAAACAACGAAATTCAATATGCACGAAAATCCAAGTTTTTCTCAAATGCAATCCACGAAAATTGGTACCCACGAAAATAAATGAATCCACAGTATATTGTTGGAAGTATATGGTGTCTGTTTTTTCTACCGGTCTGAATTGTTAAATGTCTGCAGTAGCATAGAAACTACAACATTTCAAAATACCACAACTGAAGATTTCTGGTATTTTACTCCATTTCCAAAATAAAAATAATAATATAAAAGCTTTTTGGTAATGTGTTTTCCCTGAAGGACACATTTGACGTTAAATTAAATGATATGATCTTATTTCAAAACTTTACCAAGAAACAGATATATGCAAGTTGAAACACCTTTCAATGTGACCTTTAATGCTAAATTTATTTACGTTTGAAATATGTTTCATTTGTTACATGTGCATATAAATGTAAATAAACTTGCTTCAGCCTATGTTGTTGTTTATATTATCAACAATACGATCTACTCTCCTCTGTACATGATAAGGCGTTTGACCGAATACAGTAGAGAATATTATATGTTAGAAGTTATTATAACGATTCATGCATATACATGATGAGATACCATTAACAATTAATACAATTTTAACGTCTTTGTTTGAACCGGTCGGGGTTCGAACTTACGACCTGCCGCTCTCGAGGCGAACACGCTCCCATAAGACCAGCAAGAGATCGGTTATATAGAATTTCATACCAAAAAATTAAATACAAAAAACAAGTTTCACAGAATTCTCACATAATATAAATGTTCCTTAACGGTGATGATTCGAGCATTGATGATGTGTTCAGAGAAGATGATCATAAATCAATTAGTGATCAAAGTAAAACTGTGACACAAGTAAAAGATCATCGAAATGAGGGTAACTTACAAACATTCCTTGAAAGATTAATACAATTAGAGAAAAACGAAACTGAAAATAAAAGAACTATTAAAAACCTACAAACTGAAATTGACAAATTAAAAACAGAACTTTCGAGCACGCATGATCGATTAAATCAACACGTAACAGTTTTGCCCTATAGGACGTGTGAAACGCACAGCGAAGAAAACATAGACATTGCGAAAAAAAATACGGAAAACAGTCACATTACGTATAAAATACCCGTTCAACTTAAAGGTTTGACAGGCAAAGTTGAAACGACAAATGAAAACTTTTTTACGGGTGTTAAAAAAGAATAGAATACCTGTCGGCAATTGACTCAAAATCTACGCGGTCTGGCATCTTAAGTTATTTTGAAAATAACAATGTACATGCGACATACTTACGTTTATTCAGCACAAAGAACAATCACCGCAGGATATCTACAAAGCTTAATCATGTTAATATCGCAGAAATTGCACAGAAATTGTCGAAACAGAAAACTTCTGGCCGAAAGATGTTTATTGTAGAACATGGTTAGGCAACTGTGAATGGAATCAACGCTTTACGAATGATGCTCAATATGAACCGGACTCATAATAATCTATTAAAATGCAGTGTCATATACTATTTACTCTGGTAACCTTGGTTACTTTGTTGATTATACTGTCTAGTCTAAAACTTTTAGCATGGAATGTAAGACATGTAAGAAGCATTATGTCTTCTACTGTATGTTTAAGTAATTTATTAAAAAATACTGACTGGGATGTTTGTATTATCTCTGAACATAAACTTAAAAACAGATCCTTGAATGGTTTGTCCAGTATTGAGCGAGGATATAAATGTATATGTAAAGCTGTTTCCTTGTTTAACTTTTATA